ATATATATATAAAATAATGTATTGTACAGACCCTGAAAAAGATATTACTTGTAGAATCTATTGATATACCTGATTAGAAGGTATATGTTAAAAAAAAAACAAAAAAAAACAAACAAAAAAAACCCCCCAAAAAACACTACAGAGCACTAGTAAGGTTGATTTGCTCAAATAAATATGATCTAGCACAGTAGCAGAGAACAAATTTAGTATGATTTTGGAATTAAGAAGCCATTGATAAAAAGAAATTAGGAACTTCCTGCCCTACACAACTCAAATGCTCAGGGAGAACTTTGGGCAAGCCCTGAGCATGCCAGTACTGCTGTTTGAGAGACTCTGGTGTAGCAGGTATAAGACACTGCCTTGAAGTCTGTGTCCTTCTGGACAGAACACCTAAAGTAGGTGAAAAAAAACCTAAACATAAGTCCAGAGTCCTATTAAAAAGGACTTGAAAAGGCAATTTAGGAGAAAACTGCAAAGAAAGAGAACTGGCCTGTAACAATTTAGGTCATAAGACACCTGTTTACTAGAAAGCGCTGAAAAAGTAAAGGGTTGCAATGCAATGCAAGATCAATGATATAAAATAAAAACAAGGAAAAACTCCACAAGATCAGCATTTGAGACACAGAAGCCTGTCAGTAGAAATGGAGAAGACCCCTTCAAGAAACTCTTTTTTCAAAAAAGAGTTCCACAAAGCCCCTGTGACCAAAAGGTAGATAACAGAAAACAATCTGATGCTGTGGGGGGCTGAGATGGATGACCTCTCATGTTTTGCTACGCTCCCAAACTGACAACCACAAGGATTGCAGCTGCAAGTCAAAAATCTGGCACCTTCAGGGATGGTTTGGAACACGAGGTCACAGAGACACCTGGTCAAAGTTTCACCAGGGGTGATTGAAAGAAAACAGTGACAATTATTTCTGTTGACTGGGGGAAATTGAGTTTTCAGGGGAGAGATGAATAATTTTTTGCATCCTCTCCCCAGGCCATTTGTGGGTATGAGAAATTCTTCTAGACTGGTCTTTCACCCACTTTTGGAGATGTCATTGTGCCAGAGAAGGAGTACTCAAGCTGAGCAATAGAGCCACACCCAAGAGACTGAAGAGAAAATTTTTTGTGTGTCTGCTTCAAATGAAAATACTAGTTAATGTTATCTGGCTTTTAACCTAGACAGCAGGAGTATAAAATAGTATTTAATATAGTATTAAATAGTACTAAATAGTGAAGACTATTACAGGATGTGTATCTCTTTGAGGGCCTCCCATCTCCTCAGGAAAGGCTGTGATCTTCCCAAATCTAGACATAGAGGAGCCCAAGGGGCAAATTTTAAATATCTGCCCTGCTTTCTCAAAGAAAAGCACAATTTTCTATACATAAGTAGTATTTTATATGCATCTATTTGTCATCTGGCACTGTGGAAATCCCAATGTCTCACATCCATAGCTTACATTAAAAGATATCTACATTAAAAGATATTCACCATGGAACAAAATGGATGTCATTTGGTTAAACTGCATAGAGGATAAATAAAAAATAAAATTGCTGAATGCAAAATAGCTGATACAAAAGTATCAAAATGCATTTCCCCCCACGAATATTCATTCAATCACAGAAGCAGAGAAAACAGACCCACAAGGGAAATCAGCAGGTCAGTTAGTCTGTTCTTCTTCTTCAAGGTAAAAATCAACTATTCCAAAAATCAGAACCTGTAAATTAGCTTTCAGTTTACTGTGCAGTTGCCTTTCACTATTTTTCATGCTGTGGTGCCAAAGAAAAAAGAAGACCAGAGCTGATGAAATCCACATTTCAAACCAACAACAAACAAAATATTTTTCTCTTGAGACTGATATGCAAAACCCTTCAAATTACTGCAATGAAATGTGAGGGGTGTACAAAAAAATGAGGAATACCCATCTAATGAAAGAAATGAACATTGTGAAATGAGTGATTTGTTGGATGCTGCGAGCACAAACAGCCATGAATCCTTTTCAGAAGCAGTCAGAAAAGCTTACAATGCCTCATAAATCTAAAGCTGGGGGGAAAGAAACAGAGGCAGAAATAAAGTAAAGCAGCTGAAAGGAACCTCAGTCATACACATTTTAGTTTAGGTGCTCTCACTTCTCCTATATTTCTCTTTAGGCAGATAAATTCCAGCACACAGGTGTGGTTTTGTACACATCTCACATCCTGGCACTGGCCTATGGAAAATGTACACTCAGAAATAATTTCTCTCATTGATAACAGAATTGCTTTTTGTGTTCTGTCTTCCTAGGCAGCAAAACTAGCAGATCATCCAGCAAATATGAAGATAAAGATGTTATTTGAAAGTCATAATAGATGCAGACTCTTTTTCCAATTATATACATGAGGAAACAATTTAATCTGTTCTTCCAAACACACTTTCATAAGAATAATGTCCTTTATAACTTTGGCATTTTGTTGCCAGTACCTCTGGGCTTTTATTATGTTTGGGACTAAAGGCAGTCAGAAGGCCTGCATATAAACATTTAAATTTATCTGTGTGATATTTACTGGGGAAGAACTATACATGGAACTTCTGTGATTTTACCTTATGCTGAAATACAAATGTACAGGAATCCAGTGAACTACTGGTTACACATCCATGCCTTAACTAAAATGGCAAAAGTGATAACTGAATTTTTAGCTAAAATAATAAATAATTATATTAAGATCTTATTAATCTTTACTTTTAACATTCAACAAATACAAAATTAAATGAAAGTTGGTTTTAGTGTGAGACTACCTTGATGTAAAAAGAAAAGACTCCAAGGATTAGTGTACCTGATGAAATAAAATTTGGCTTGAATAAACCCAAAATGGGAAGAAGGAAAGGGATATGAATGCTCAAAGAGCACACTGAATAAGAGTAAATTATGGAGAAAAAGATGCCACTCTGCTCATTTTCTTTTTCTCATTAGAGTCCTGGGAGAATTTTGAACATGCTAAGAGAAGGCTGCTGGTCTGAGGTGCACTGAGCTGTAAGAAAATCCCAGTTGTTCACTGGCTGAGTTTAATGTTCATGGAGGATGCTGGACATGCAGCACTCCAGGGTGAAAAGGTCTTTAGTCAGTTCATGGCCAAGATTACAGAAGCTGCCAGGGGCCTGCTTGCCATGCACCAGGCCACTTCCATCACCTTGCTTTAGTGGATCTCATACTGGAGTGGAAAAAACTCTCTGATGGCAGCAGTCACTCAAGAATATCTGAATTACCTCTTCAAAAGACAATTTTTCATCTTTATGGAGAGATGTAATTGCCTCTACTAACCCCCATTGTTACACTAGAACAATTTCAGCTGTTCAAAAATGGGACCTCTGAGACTGATGTTCCATGACATAGGAGCTATTGTAAAAAGACTAGTTTTAAGCCTTAATTGTGTTTAATTAAGATTAATTTGTCCGGGCTACGCATTGCTGTCTCTGTTCAGCACTTTTTCACCCCCTGAGTTTCTCTGTTACAACCTGTGTTAAATCAGGTTAAATCATGGCTGAAAAACAACTTTTAGGCAGATTTTTTTTTTGTTCTGACATAAGATAATTTTTTTTTTTTTTTTACATATTCAACAGGAGAGCCCACAAGAAGTTAGCTCAGAGGGCACTCTACTTCCTAGAGACCAGAATATACTGCCAGGGGAAGAAAACATCTTACACTAAAACCACGAGAAAAAAAATTCTACAACATGGAGTTACAACCTAAGATTCTCCCTCTCATTAAATCAGTGTCTTTCTAAGCTTACTAAAAGTAAATTTCCATGCTCTGGGAAACCATGGAAAGAGATTAGCTGATTTCAGGCATGAGCTGGAAGCTACAGAGTGTGTCTCCAGGTCCTTGCCTCCACAGCAGGTGATTTCAGATGGAAAAGGCCATCTGTACAGAACAACTTCTCCAAAGCCTGCAGGTCACTTGCCAGCAAGAAACTTGGCCTCCAAAAGTTCCCCCCTTTCCTTTTCTCAAGGCCTGTCCCAGCACATATTGAATCAGAACTGAAAGAATAAAAAAAAAAAAAAAAAAAACACCAAAAAAATCAAAAAAAACCACATTTCATGTGTCAGCTACAGCAACTACTGATACTGCTCCTAAGAGTAGTATCTTCTTGAAAAAAGAGCTGAAAAAAAAGCAGCAGCAGGGCAGAGCAATGTGCCTGCTCCCCTGGCCTGCCCACTGCAACAATAACAGAAATGTTTGGCTCTTTCCAAAGCAGCAATTCAAACCCATTTGCCCCTTTCTTCTGTGCATTCTGTAAGCTGCTCTCCTCTGCTTCGAGGCACTCAGCTCCTTCCTGCAGCTGAGGAAACAGCCACAGATTTTTCTCCGAAATGAAATAGTCAGTTTGTTCCCATTTGTTCAAATTCAGGTTTTGAACCAATTTGCTTTTGTCTCCTCTTACTTTTGTAAAATTGACATTTTTATGCTTTTCCTGTGCACATTCAGTGTCCCTGCTGATGGATTCAGACCTGGCCAGGGCACGAGCTCCAGGCCTGGAAGAGCCTTTGTCCCTTTCCCCCCCAGCATCTGTGTATCCAAGGTCCAATCTGAATCCCCAAATGTAGGACTGTTCTGTTTCACATCCTGTTTTAGCTCAAAAATTATGACTATTTTATCGACTTGTAGAATTCTGACATCAGCAATGGCCCAGCCAGACACCACAAAGACAGAAAATTAATTTCCCCTGAGCTGTTCTGGTGTTGAAGGTTCTATACAAACCCCTCCGTGCTTTGATAAAGCCACAGTCCATAACCATATCACAACTCTAAATGTGACCCTTTAATGACATTGCACTCATTTTTTGCCAGCTGGCAGTGGAATTTTTGCTGTTGTGCATTAGATGTAAAGATCAGATAGATTTTGAAGAGTACACACAGCAAACACTGTAAGCAGTAGCTCTGAAGCTAAAGGGACCCTCAGCCACTCACAGGGTATTTTCAAGCTAGGAGAATTTATCATCCTCCTCAATCTGAGATGAATATTCAAAGAGTCACTCACCACATCTTGGCAGCAACATCAGCATTGTTGTTGAACATTAGCCCAAGTTTTTTTCTCTTCTCCGCTTTTTATTCTTTTGCCCTGTCATAAACAAAAATGGTTTAGGATCAATAAAATCTCCATTTCACTTCATCATGATCTCATTGCTAGCATTAAAAGGGTGAATATTATATTTTAGGAAAAAAATAACCCAACCAAAAGGGTACATTAATTCAATGGAGATATTAACTTGTTTTGCTATGACATGCTTTCAAATAAAATAATTGTAAAAAAATCACACTTTTATGTAAATTAAGATGTTGAATCACCAACCAAAAGCCTCATAAACTCTGAGCACCTTAAAATTCAGAATAGCAAGGCAGTATTTTTTATTAAAACTAAAAAAAATATATAAATTTTCTGCCTCCTCCTGGTCTGCTTTTATTTTTAGAAATGTGTGAATGCATATATATTTTAATGTATCTGTAGGCAACCCTTTCCTTCTTTCAGTGCTTTCTGCCTTTGCTCTTTTTGAGTGAGAGGTGACATAAATCCACAACTTCTATCGTGGCACTCATGGGTACCCCAGAGTATCTGGGGAAACTCCTTTATTAGTGACAGTGCAGGATCACACAAAAAAAATCCTTCTGGAAAATCCTGTGGAGCACAAGAAGAAGGGAATTCCTCCCCTCTGTGAAAGGAGATGCCCCATGACACAAATTTCCACACCAGAATTCTGAAATTTTAAACTCTGGCTTCACTCTAGTAGAAAAATAAGGGACAGCAGCAGAGACCACAAATTTATTGGAATCTCTGTGTAATCCAGGCATGTTCCAGTGACACCTCAAGACAGATGCTCCCCCCCCCCTCCCCCCTCAAAAAATGCCTTACAAAGTCAACTCTTCTTTTACTCCTGGTAACTGGAAGATTTCAGAGGCTCAGGTACCGAAATTATATTAATATATTCATACTACATCCTTTCATTTGGGGAAACTCAGGCTGTTTGAACAAATATTTAATTAAGCCTCATATGGCACAGCAGGGAAAATATTTTTAATGATATCCTGCGGTCAAAATCAAAATTTCCTGTCAGTTCCCTTAGAGTGGTGCCCGAATTTAATCCTGTTTTTGGAGTTTTTTTTCACACAGATAGACGACTGTGTTTAGCAGCACTTGGCAAACCCTGACCTCTCTTAGTTATTCCTCACAATGCTGGGACAGCTTTGGGATCAAATGTGGCAGGTGTTGGAGGATACAGCAACACCCTGAGCAAAAGGGTTCAGGATGGGAAAGTGCATTAAATCATCTTCTCCAGATAAAAAACCATTGGCATCTATAATTTTCTGAAGCCATGGTCTGAGATCTACAAGAAGCAGTGAGATTACTTTAATTTTACCTATTTTCAAAGGTTTAAAAGTTTTTTTATAAAGGGTTTATAAGTTTTACCTATATTAAAAGATTTTTTAAAGGGGCCAAGATTTCATCAATGTCAAAATAGAGACAAGTTGAATATTAGAAGCTGAAGGTAATTGCTGAAAAGTTTCATTTATGTGTCTGCTCTGGCAAATTTTCCATTGCTCAGAGATTTCAGCCAGCCTGTGGTTAGAGAAGTTAAGCTTTCCCTGCAGTACAAACCAGGTGTGGGAGATTTTATTTGTAAACTGAACTGAATAAGGAGATTCTCATCCTTTTACAACTATTTATCAGCCTCAGAGTCATTGCTTCATTTGCAGATTGATGTAAACCAGAGTATTTTCAGCATCTCCCTGAAAGGGATTGGAAGAGTGTGCTGGGAATTGATCAGCACTCTTCAGATCTTGCAGGAAACTAAGATGTGTCCTGATGGAAGGGAAATCAAGATATTGATGTGACCAAAGTAAAAAACTGGTTTGGACATACCACATTAGCAAGATAGCATGATGCTGATCAGATAGGCATTAACAAAGGAATAATGCCAGGGCCAAATTTATCACAAAAAATTATAAAAATTTATTTTGACCAAGTTTAAATGGCTCCTTTCTTTTCAGCTGTCAGTGAGACCAAATTTTATAAATGTCTCCAGTAAAACAAACTAGAATTCCTTCATTTTAAATAGATTAAAATGTTTCAGGAAGTTAGGAAACATTTATTCATACATACTGACATTTGACATTACTTTCAAAATCTTAAAGCACAAGCGACATTTCTCAGCAGGTAGACACAAGTTAAAAAGTAAAAAAAAAAAAAAAAAGTGCTTCTAATGAAATGAGAATTAGTTCAAGACTAAGAAAACATCTATTCCCAAAATTAATAAATTGCATAAAAATATAATTTGACATCCTACATAATGTCTCTGAGTATTTATTTGACACAGATACATTCATCAAATTATAGCAACCTTCAGATTTTTATTTCATCAAGAAATAAAGGAAAACGTCACTTTTGAACATGACAAATGTCACTATGAGCAAAGATGGACAATGACTGATCACTCAATAGCCAGAGATCCTTCTCCTGCTTCCTTCCCATCATCTGTACAGCAACAGAAGAAACAAATATTGAGCTGGCCAGGAAAAGAGATGGATTGTGATATGTGCGTGTCTAATGCACTCAAAAGGTGCTCTGGAGACCGATTCAGAGAAGTGCAGTGTCCTGGCTTGTAAGACAAGCATGTATTCTATTTGCCATCTGTTGGAGGTTGGGCAGTTTTCTTATCTCTTCCAAGAACAACGTCTCCCTCTGGGGAGATATCTTCTGTTAATGGGCCATGGAATGACTCACTGCATGACTGGTAAAGTTCCATCATCCCATTGTGAGATGCTCCGCCCAGAGGGAGGAGCCAAGCAGCCCTACCTGCATTAAATCAGCACTTTTTGGGACATCAGGGCAGCCTCTTCGCTGGATTCCCAGAGGAGCAGCTTCTTCTGTGCTGGATTCCCAGAGGAAGACCAGGCCCAGCTACTTTACACTAGACCTTCAGAGAAAACTCCACCCTTCTACAGTTCCCCGCTCCAGCAGCATTTCATCTGCCACTCCAGGAGGAGCAGCCACCATTTAACTGGACTATTCCCAACACCCTGACTCCTCAGGGTGTCAGGTTTCTGACTCCATCACTAGTTTTGTTTGTACTAATTACATTTCTTTTATTATTATTATTTTTATTTAGTTTTCTCCTAGTAAAGAACTGTTATTCCCATTCCCATATCTTTGCCTGAGAGCCTTTTTTAAAATTGTGGTAATTCGGAGGGAGGGGGTTTACCTTTTCCATTTCACAGGAGGCTTTTGCCTTCCTTCACAGACTCCTGTCTTTTCAAACCAAGACATACAGGTACAGCCGGGCTTAAGAGATTTGGCTTTGCAAACACTGACTGCAAGACAGCCACACTTTTATTAAACACAAGCAAGGAATGATGATTACAAGCCTGGGACACTGCACAGACATTTTCCCTGCACTGCTGTGCATGTACCTGCTGTGAAATTGTCAAATACCAACGCTGAGTCCCAAACATCACTCCCAGAGTGGAGATACCTGGTAAGCAGCAGAGTGCCTGGAGACACCAAAGCATGACCAGCCCTTCAGAAAAACCAGCATGGCACAGCAGATTGCTTGCATCACTTCCAGATTCATTGGTATTTATAATATCTACATCTGCACCTAATCACATACCAGTTTTAGCCATGTCATGGTTTGACACGGGAAGGGATTTTTTTTTTAGAAGGAAGAGGTCCATCCAGTCAGGGGTCAGGTTTAGATACTGATACTTGGGGTGACCAATTGAAGGTGGACACGCCTCTGAGAACACAGAGGGGTTAAAAGTGGAATTCCCAGGAGGACTCGTCCTTCTTTGGTTCCGGTCATCGCATGGTACGGACCTTCCCCCCCCAGCCCGGGCTGGGTGGGGGAGGGGAGCCATGCGGCCTGTGGAGGTAGGCCCAAGGGTGGAGGGGCTGGAACCAGACCTGGCCCCCTGCAGATGGAAGGGTGGAGAAATCTGGGATGTCTCCGTTCCTCCCAGAGTCTCTCTCTCTCCCAAGAGAGAAAAAGAGACTCGGTGGTTTTATCAGCAGTTCGCCGCAGGGAAGGAGAAGAGCGGGGGGGCCGCAAGGTGCCCAGCCGGGCTGTGGGAGCTGGAGCCTGGGCAGCGAGCCATCTCTGGGAGTTGGGACTTTTAACCCTTCCTGAGAAATGAAAGCTTTGTGAAATTTTCTCCTCCTTGGTTTGAAAAAAGAGAGGAAGAGAGACAGCCTAAAACCTCAGATGTTCAGAGAAGAAGGTTGGGGGCAGATGATAGAGTGGCTTTTGGCTGGACTCTGCTTGTTTACCATAGACTGAACCACTCTTTCTTTCAAGAGGGACTGCATTTTAGGGGGATGCATTGGTGAGCCAAGAGACCTTCTTCAGCAACTACCAGTTTTGGAGTGGACAGAGAGAGAGCTGAGGAGGGTGTGAGGATGCCCTCCATCTTCAGGAAGAAGAGAAGGCGATCTCTGTCTTTTGGACCCTCGGCCCCAGGGGAAAATGGGGGGGGACTCTAGTCCTGAATTGTGATACTGGACTGTTGTTCCTGGTGGTCCTTGGCGAAGCATCCTTAAAGGGGCCCTATAAGCAGTCTCTGTCCATGCACGGTGGTAAGAGCACTGTGACATGGAGAGGAGAATGTCACACTGGCCAGTGTGTCTGGGCGGTGCCACGTGTGACATTGGAAACACAAGAGGTGGCAGTTGTGTTTCCTGGGGGTCTGTGGTTGCAAGGAGGACTCCTCTCTTCCCCGATAGACTCAGTATTGATTATATTGAAGGGTGAAAACTTGATTAAGGATCCAAATGGGTCTCGCTGGGGTTTGGTGGAGTTGGGTGGAGGGAGGAGAAATGTTTTGGAAGGTTTTCATTTCAAATTTTGTGTGGTTTTTTTTCTTCCCTTTCTTTTCCTTTTATAGTAGTAGTAGTAGTAATGTAATAAAGTTTTTTCCTTTGTTATTAAGTTTGGCCTGCTTTGCTCTGTTCTTGATCACATTTCACAGCATTTGATTGGTAAGTTGTATTTTCATGGGGCGCTGGCATTGTGCCAGCGTCAAACCATGACAAGCCAATACGTCAAAAATATATTTTAGCCATAATGTCAACAAAAATATCAAGGCAAATGGTAAAATAAAATTTTAATTTGATCTTTCAGAGTTTTTAGTTAATTTTTCTTATTTCTTTGTGGTTGACTTTTGGATTTTTTTTTTTTTTGCCTTATAAATATCCCAAAAAATTTATATTCATGGAAGGCCAATTTAGAAGGAAGAACAAAAGC